TAGTTTCCACACTCTGTTGGGTCACCTTTCTTTGGGATAGGAACAAATATAGATCTTTTCCATTCAGTTGGCCAAGTGCTTGTTCTCCAGATTTCTTGGCACAACTTGGTGAGCATATCCAGGGAAGCATCTGTTAGCTGAAATATGTCAATTGGTATACCAACTATTCCTGGAGACTTATTTTTTTTATGCATTAAGGTTTCTTAATTACAGGCAAAATTTATCATCTTGACCTGAGAGATGCCTCTGCGATGACATGGTAGATGCGTACAGGATGTCCAGTCTTTTCCATAGTCTGAATTAGCACATCCCTGTCTTTTGTCCATGGTCTGAATGAGCACATCCCTGTCTTTTGTCTGTCTGCCCTGAGAGGCTCAGCTTCTCCCCTTTGCCGCTCTTTTCTTCAGGCTAAAGTGATGGTTCCTGCTCTGAAGGCTAGAGAAAGTGGTCATGCTGCCAGATATTTGGGCACAAGGTCTTTTGTGCTTTATTTTATCAAAAGTCCAATTTATTAAAATTTAATTTGTTATTGCAGTTAGCTACTACTTAGACTGGATTCTCTAGAGGAGCAAAATCAATGACATGTATGTATCAATATGGATGATAGATCAATACAGACAGATTTAATTCAAGTAAATTTATGCAACTATAGGGCTGGGCAAGTTCAAAATCCTTCATCAGGCAGCAGGCTGTTGGCTCATGTCTGCTGTTATTGTTAGGTGCTGTCGAATTGATTACATGCATAGCAACCCTATGAACAATAGATCTGAACTCTGCTCTATCTTGTACTATCCTCACAATTTCTGATGTGCTTGAGCATATTATTATGTCACTATGTCAATCCACCTTGTTGAGGGTTCTCTTCTCTTACGCTGACCTCCACCTTTTCCAGAATAAGATCTCTTTCCAAGGACTGGCTAACAACACGCTCAGAGTGAGACAAAGTTTTCCCATCTTTACCACTAAGAAGCATCGTGGTTGCATGTCCTCCAAGGAAGATCTGTTTGTTAGTTTTATACTCCATGTACTCTTTTCTTGTTCTTTTGGCAGCCCATGAGTCCATTCAGTACTCTTCTCCAATGCCACAATTCAAAGGCATTGATTCTTCTTTGATCTTCCCTATTCAGTGTCCAACTTTCAGATGCCTAGGAAGCCACGCAAAATACCATGGCTTGCATCAGGTACAACTTAGTCTTCAAACTGACAGTCTTGCTCTTTAATAGTTTGAGTCATTAAGAGTTTGACTGTAGTTAAGAGGTGGACTATAGGCTCCTCTCACCCATGTAACAGGAAGTCAGATGGGATGAGTGCAGGATTGAGAGAGAATCTTGTCAGACTATCCATCTGTATATAGCATATAAGCCACACTCCCAAGGAAACCGCCTTCCTAACTGGCTGTTCCTATGAGCTCACTGCACACAGGATGGTATACAGCGCTGACCAACCACTAGAGGTCAAAATCTAGCCACACTGATGCATTAATTAACCATCAACTCTCAGGATAGCATTTGACACAACAGAAAGACACACTGACAGGTCCTGTTTTATCTTCACAACTGCCACATGGTTGAGTCACCATGTGGTCTGTCAATCCAGAAATGGAGGGTCTTCCTGCCCTTGTCGGTCTTTGCCAAACCCAATATCCTCCTAAGGAATTAACACCTGCAATGAAAACATGCCCAAGGCAAGTCAGTGTTTTGTCGAGAGCCATAAAGTTTTACTGACTAAATTATGGAGGCAGACTTCTGCATCTTCTTCTTTTAGCTTTGCTAAAACCTGTCCATCATTGAGAGTACTTTTGACGTTTTAAAATCTAGAGGCATATAGCTTCCAGCATCATAGCAACATGCTAGTTACCACATTGGAACTAAGTGCCAGACAAGTGGAAGAGTAAAGCCACTCTTGCTTAGGGCAGTCTGGTTAGTTTGACAATGTCTGCAATCAGTCGCCAATCCCTAAGCAAGATCTGGAAGACTTCTACCACCCCAAAGTCAACTTGTTCTCCAAAGTGTCCTCAAATATACATGCATTTCCCTATTCCTAAACAAGCCTGCAGGCTCTCAGAGGGCAGAGACTGAGTCAGGAACAAGATGACCTTCCAGTGGAGTAAGGTCAAGGACAAGGCCACGGGCACCAAGGTGATGCTGACTTGAATCCAGAGTTTGCTAACTAGCACTTGTTGGTCTTTGGATGAGTTCTGTCACTGCATTGATCCCATTTAGTATAGTTCCCCTATACTAAAATGGGCATGATGAAAGCTCCCTGACCACCTCCACAACAGGCATTGAGGGAGCTGCTGTTCTAAGAACCAGAGTTCGTGAGTGGTCACCCCACAGCATATAGGCACACCACCACTGCCAAGGCACATTACCCTGGTGTACAGACCTGGGTGGAGAAAGCTGGTTTGCCCCCCTGGAACCACCTGGTTCTTGCCTCTCAAGGTCCCAAGTCTCTTACTTGCTCTCCCTACTGTACGCAGAAGGTCCACCATACGCTCACAACCAGAGTAGGCCAAATGCCTTCCCCTGAAATCTTCAAGCATTGCTGTAAGCTGTCCTCCCTAAAAGGAAATCTTAGATACTTCTGAGAACAGGTTGGAGGGTTAGGAAGTTATTTCTCACCATTAATTATAGAAGCATTGGTGGCTCAGTGGTAGAAGTATCATCTTGCAGCAGGACACCACCAACTCAGCTCATGCACAGCCACCACCCCATCTGTCAGTGGAGCCTTACTGTTGTGTGATGGTGAGGTGCTGAGTAGAGTTTACAGACTAACACAACTGAGAAGAAAAACACAGAGGTCCAGTTCTGAAAACCTGTGAACACAGCAATTCAATCTGCAAACTACTGAACCTGGAATGGAGCTGCTAGGGGTCAATTTATAGTCATCTAGAAATAACAGTAATTAAAAGTAAAAAAAAAAATCTCCATTGCTGTCAAATCAGAAATTACTTATAGCTGACCCTCCAGCAGTTTCTGGAGGCGCATCTTTCTCCCATGGAGCACCTGGTGGACTTGAACCACCTGAGAGGCACCACCTTTGGGTTAGCAGAGCAACCCCCTACAGACTATGCCCCCAGAGCTCCCTAATAGGGTTGCTGTTATATACTGTCAAGTCAGAAGCAACCCGTATTGGGTTTTCAGAGGCAGTAAATTGCACAGGAGAAATTAAACCATCTGTCTCCTGCAGAATAGCTGGTGGATTTAAATCACATGGTTTTGCCTTAGCAGCACAGCTCCTTATTGCTAAGCCACCCGAGGAGATATGTTAAACATACTCCACACAGTACAACGCACTATCAGCAGCGTCTCCATGACACCATTCAATAACTCCCCATGTAGGAAGTGGGGATTATTATAAGGTAGCACACTCACGCAGTGAGCAGGAAGGCCCATGTGTACAACTGTAGAGGAAATCAGTATGGCATGTGTTTCTAACCTTCACAATGCTTGTATCCATAATCTCAATTCCTGCAAGGCTATGTTAAGAAATGAGAAAGGAAGTATGCAAAAATTCTCAATTTAACATTATTTCTCTCATTCAACTAAGGGCCATCCACAGTATCTGTGGCAGATGAGGTATCATGGACCCACAAAAAAAGGTTACAAGGAATTTACAATTATGCAATCTATACAGAAAGCTCCTTATTTAAAATTAAGTGAGAAAAAGTAACATGCAAAACTAGATAATAAAAAAAAATCCCTCTACCTATATCCAAACAACAAACACATGTCTTGATTAGACTGGAAGGAAGTTCAAATTGTTAGGTAAGCTTAATTTTTAATTTTTTCCCTTTCTGCTAGTATATATTTTCTAAATTCCCCTTTTAAAGCACTATTTCTACAAAAGAAAAGTATGGACTTGTAGAGTAGATTAATCCCTCGGTTTAGCATTTGGCTCTTTGCATTTACATACCCTTCCCTGGTTCCCTTGTCCAAAGTCTCCAGGGCATGAAAGTGAATGGCATACTACTGAGATGATGTGAGCTGAGAAGATGCTACAGTTGTCACAGAGAAATGTACTCACACTTTACATGAGAAAAGAGATCTCATTTCAATTATGATGACCGTTGGTAAAGTCTGTGTCTTCAGTCTGTCTTCCTTGACCTCACTTGCACTCAGTAGTGGTGCACAGCCTACCTTTTCCAGCTGAGATGTGCTCTGGTCACAAGCCTCTCTGATCAGGTCCTGGGCCTTGCTGTGGTCACCCTGCTTGTAGGCAGCATAGATGCCCTCTGTCTGGGGGGATGTCACTGTGCAGTTGCTCCCTGGAGTGGATGGTTTGCTGCCCATGCCCACTGCCCCTGCATGAAGGAAACAGGCATAAGTCACTATTCTCTCCTGTGAGGTACAGGAGGTCCGGGGGCAGCTACCACTTAGGACCCAGGGAGCTGAGGACGGAGAACCAGAGGCTGTTTAATTCTACTTCACTCAGCCCTTCTTGGGAACACTTCCAGTGTCTCCTCCAGAAGCTATCCCAGAGAGTGAGGCTGGTGCAGAAATCAGTTACCTAAGAGGGCACTTGAGTACCACACATTCAGGAGAACTCTGGGAAGACACTGGGCACCACATGTCCAGGACAACTCTGGGAGGACACTGGGTACCACACATCCAGGAAGATTCCTGGAGGCCACAGCACCACATGTCCAGGAAGACTCTAGGAGGACACTGAGTGCCATGTATCCAGAAGGACTCTGGGAGGATAATGGGCAGTATATGCTCAAGAACTGGCAGTCTGGGAGGACACTGGGAAGTATGTGTCTAGGAGGACTCTGGGAAGGAATTGAAAAGTATGTATTCAGGACCTGGCAATTCTGGAGGACACTGGACAGCACATGCCCAGGAGGACTCTGGGAGGACACTAGGCAGTAATGTGTTCAGGAGCTGGCCTTCTGTGAGGATACTGGGATGTATATGTCCAGGACAATTGTGGCAGGGCTCTCACCTGGAACTTCACCAGGGCAGGTGGTGGTCATCTGGTAGGGACCCTCCAGGCTGATTGCACTGACAGTGTCAGAACAGCAGGGGCTTCTGTGAGAGAGCAGTGGGCACAACTGCCCCACTGCTGGATCGCTCAGGTGGACCCTGAGGGCACGAAATCCATACTCATCCCCAGCCCCTCTGTTTAGAACACTCCATTAGGAGTATGAGAGTTAGAGCTGGCAGCCTTCATTCCATATCTGCCACTACACAAATATGTCACCTTATGATGCTGGGCAGTTTCCTATAACTCGGGACCCTCCTGATGCACTGGCATGACAAGCTTTGGTATCATCGTGGCCCAAGCAGGGCTTTGCTCACTAAGAATGGACACTAATCTACAGGAGTCGGGGCAGATGGTCCTGAGCAACACCACCAGAGGAGTCTTTGGAGAAGGACATCGTGCTTGGAAAGGTGGAGGGGCAGCACAGAAGAGGAAGGCCATGGACGAGATGGACTGACTCAGTGACAGGGGTAAGGAGGGTACATATGCTGGAGTCAGTGAGACTGGCTCAGGAGAGAGCAGGGATCAGAGCTGCTGTCCATAGGGTCGCTATGAGTCGCAAGTGACTTGACAGCACATGACAACAACTCTCAGGCAGGGCCTTTATGCACTCCACTTCTCAATACCTCTTTGAATAGATGGAAAGAGTCAACAGGGAATTGTGTAAACATCTTCACTAGAATCAAACACCCCAAGGAAGAGAGTTGTTGGTCCTGGAGCCTTGGCACCACAAGCTTAGAGGACATTAAGGTCAACTGGCATAATAGCACACAAAGACACAGTCCACATGAACTTCAATGTCCAGGACCCTGAGACCAGAACCATCTCTGGCTACCACTGTGGACCACTCTGGGGGATGCTGGCAGAAGATCCAGAACGGAGCTGGGGAAATGGTGTAGGACAAAATTCCAAAGTCAGGGTCACTAGTCCTATAGAGATTGGTAAAAGCACCAAGACGAGGACCCTTAGTTACCCTCAGGACCAAGAACAAAACTTGCCCTTACAGTTCAATTTTCCAAGAACTGACAGGTCGACAAGGTGACCACCACCACCACCAGGCAGGCCTTTATGACCTAAGAGAGGCCTGAGGGGAGAGCCCACTTAGGAAGGGGTAGAACAGAACGTTAATGGAAGTGAAAATTACAGAGAAGACATGTGAAGAATGAGGTTACATTATAGGCAAAATTAATGTCCTAGAACAGCATGTCCATGAGTGAGTGAATGGAAAACCAATTTGCTTTTATAAATTTAAATTAAAATCACAATGAAGAAGTCACTACAAAGCTTTTGGAAGCAAAGCACTGTGGTATTAGCATAGACCAAAAGACCCATCAAAAATAACAGACCCAAATTTACATATATGTACATATTTTACACAAAAAGTATTAAAGCAATACAACTGTAAAAGCAAAGCACTTTCAACAAATCAGTCATTTCTGCGGAGAGGGACTCAAAGCTGACTCTCCAGTGAGTTTCCAGAGGCAGTAAAATACAAAAGAGGAGACTGTCCATCTCCCTCCATTTGAGCAGCTGCTGGATCAGAATCTAGCTGCCTCTGGAACTGCCTCAGGGCAACTGCTTACCACTAAGCCTCCAGAGCTCTCAGCAACAAACAGTGTTGGAAAAACTGGAGATCCACAATGAATAAGGGTAAGTTTGACCTCTGCTTTCCATCATCTAACACATTCTTTTTTTTATTATTTGTTGTAATTTGAATGAATGATTATAGAGAAAATTTCCATTCAGTGATTTATACCCATATTACTTATGATGTTAATAATATTACCCACATCATCTGTCTAACAAATTCAGATGGATTATGGACCTAAACATAAAGGCTAAAACCCTGAAGCTTCTACAAGAAAACAAGAGCTCTGGTGGCGTTAACCAAAAGCCCATGTCTCTGGCAGTTTGAATACACTACTAATTTCTTAAGAAAAAGATAAGAGAAGGAAATAAGAGGTATCCAAATTGGCAAAGAGGAGGTAAAATTATTCCTCTAGGCAGATGATATGATAGTATACTTAGAAAACCCTAAAGACTCAGCAAGAAAACTTTTGGACGTAGTTGACGAATTCAGCAAAGTGTTGTTGTTGTTGTTATGTGCCGTCAAGTCTCATAGCGACCCTATGTACGACAGCCCTAAACTCTGCTCTGTCCTATGCCAATCGCACTGTCTCCGACACTCCCATCCCAATTAGCAGGATATAAAATCAACATACAAAAATCAGTTGGATTTCTCTACAGTGACAAAGAGAATACAGAGCTGAAGCTAAGAAAAACAAT